CTCTTATTGATCCAGTGTTACTACAGGAGGAACTGACCTAAACTAAACTAACTTTATTTATACTGAATAGCTCCATCAGTTCTAAACTGTTCTTCCTACAGGTCCAGTAAGAATCATCTCTTATTGATCCAGTGTTACTACAGGAGGAAACCTAAACTAAACTAACTTTATTTATACTGAATCAAACTTTGAACACGTAAGCATCTAGCTTATAAGTAGTTGGCTTTTCGAAATACGTGGCATTCTTCTGAAGATGACTTAAATTATAGTCGAAACGTAAAGAATTAAGTGTTTACAATTTTCGGAGTGTCTATTGTTTTGTGTTTTATACTGAATAGCTCCATCAGTTCTAAACTGTTCTTCCTAGAGTTCCAGTAAGAATCATCTCTTATTGATCCAGTGTTACTACAGGAGGAACTGACCTAAACTAAACTAACTTTATTTATACTGAATAGCTCCATCAGTTCTAAACTGTTCTTCCTACAGGTCCAGTAAGAATCATCTCTTATTGATCCAGTGTTACTACAGGAGGAAACCTAAACTAAACTAACTTTATTTATACTGAATCAAACTTTGAACACGTAAGCATCTAGCTTATAAGTAGTTGGCTTTTCGAAATACGTGGCATTCTTCTGAAGATGACTTAAATTATAGTCGAAACGTAAAGAATTAAGTGTTTACAATTTTCGGAGTGTCTATTGTTTTGTGTTTTATACTGAATAGCTCCATCAGTTCTAAACTGTTCTTCCTAGAGTTCCAGTAAGAATCATCTCTTATTGATCCAGTGTTACTACAGGAGGAACTGACCTAAACTAAACTAACTTTATTTATACTGAATAGCTCCATCAGTTCTAAACTGTTCTTCCTAGAGTTCCAGTAAGAATCATCTCTTATTGATCCAATGTTACTACAGGAGGAAACCTAAACTAAACTAACTTTATTTATACTGGATTGCTCTATCAGTTCTAAACTGTTCTTCTTAGAGGTCCAGTAAGGATCATCTCGTATTGATCCAGTATTACTACAGGAGGAAACCTAAACTAAACTAACTTTATTTATACTGGATAGCTCTATCAGTTTAACTGTTCTTCCTAGAGGTCCAGTAAGAATCATCTCTTATTGATCCAGTGTTATTACAGGAGGAAACCTAAACTAAACTAACTTTATTTATACTGGATAGCTCTATCAGTTTTAAACTAAACATTAATTCGTAAATAATTTACCTGATCAATTGGCAATGATTGTTGTGGAGTTGCGTCTGTCAGTGGAATATTGACAGGAGTTGATAATTTTGTAGCTCGCTTTCGTTGTTTGTATAAGACAATAAGCACGATGCAAAGGAATACGACGCCACCCACTGTTGTTGCTATGACAATGATTCTGCTGCCTGTTTTTTCCTTGACTGAATAAATATAAGAAAACATTAGAGTGATTTCTATTAACCAACTCAAAATGTTAAGGCAACTAAATTAACATGATACTGCCAACAGATAAAGAAGAACTTCCTACAATACATCCCAATGTAATTTAAGCAAAACCTCACTTGCCTTCAGAGCAACATGATGGTGAAATGGCCGTTTTAGAAACATAACTTCCATTATTTTCCACTGAAGGCCGCTCACTAGGTTGAATTTCTACAATCATAAAAATACTGAAATGGCAGGTGTAGTAGAATTTTCGGGGCTTCGGTGGCGAAGTGGTTAGCGCACTTGCCTTTCACCTCTGAGGCCGCACGTTCAAGCCTCAACGAGAACTTTCTCAATGCCACTAGAGCGCAGTCCTCATGTGAAAAGTGTAAAAAAGCCAACGATCTGCCGAAAGTCGTGGGTTTTCCCCGGGTACTCCGGTTTCCTCCCACAGGTAAAGTTGACAGGGTGGGTTAGGTAAAAGGGCCCACAGTAATTGGCATATGCTGTTGTGGTGACCCTGCCCTAGTTGGCAAAGCTAAATAAACTAAAACAAAATAAAATAAAAAACATTTTCCACTGAAGGCCGCTCACTAGGTTGAATTTCTACAATCATAAAAATACTAGTATAACTTATATAGACCTGTCACCAACTAAATGATGAGCAACGACCCCATTTTCACTACTCTATTCGATCGAAAATCTACTACCCACCTACTATACAGGGTGTATAAAAAAAAACTGAACAGATTTGAAATTGCTCTCAATTTCGCAAAACAGCTATTTGTATCCGGTTTTTTATATATATAGCTTCTTTGGGTACTTATAATGTAAAATTATGAAAAAAAATTCTCGAACTCAAATTTTGTGAACCAGGGGTGTGTGTCTTTTCCAACAAACTAAAAATGGCTCGCGCACAAAATTTAAAAGCTGTAATCATATTTTGAGTTAATAGATGGAAAATCTGTCGGGTTTTTAATTACTGTACAAAATTTCAGAAAATGTGGTTTAGTTTAAGCCCTTTAACTATTCATTTTGTTCTAAAAAGTCAGCCTTTCGCATGCTTAATTAATGCCTTTACCTAAT